TTACTGATGCACAGAGTAAAGTATGACCCAGAGAACCGGGCTTAGCTCTCAGCTGTAAATGTATAGCACTGTCTCAAGGTTAACTCTTCACTTCTAGGAAGGTCTTTGGGGTCAGAAGAGCAGATCATTCCAACAAAGTCTCTGGGGTCATTGGAGATTCACAGGAGACACCTAGGACCAGCTGGGGGACTGCTTCACTGCTCATCAGATCTGCTGGGTGTTTGTAGCTGGGTCTCTGGAGACAACCTGTGGCTGGGTTTCTGAAAATAGCCAGGTGACTATAGTTGGGTCTCTGAAAACAGTCAGGTGAATAAAGCTGGGTCTCTAGAAACAGCCAGACAACTGCAGCTGGGTCTCTAGAAACAGTCACAACTGTAGCTGTGTCTCTAGAAACAGCCAGACAACTGTAGCTGGAGTTCTAGAGACAGCCAGACAATTGTAGATGGGTCTCTGGAAACAGCCAGCTGATTAGGGATTCGTTTCTAGAAGTAGTCAGGTGTATGTATCTGAGTCTCTGGAATCAATGGCAACACAGTCTATCCAAGGAGCTGGTCAATTGTAGAAGGAACCACCTGGTTAAGGAAACTTCTGGAAGCTGGTTAGAAAACTCGTCTCCAGCTCATGTCTCCTGGACAGCTGCCTGACTCGCTTTCCAGATGATGATGAGTCCAAGAGGAAGCCTTCCAAATGGCCGCTTCAGGCTTTTCCTAGAGTGACTTTATATCCTCAGGTGTAGAGGTCAGGTGGGCCTGGGGTCAGTGTCTGGCAATGGCTGCATACGTGCAGGACTCAGCCATGGGCTTTGTGGACTGTGGGGACACAGCCTGGGCTGTCCTCCGTGTGAGGGCCCAGTGGTCCAGCTGCGCATACGTCACCTCCTGGGGGTCCCCTGCAGCCGGGGCCTGGGAGAGAGAGACCCAGGGTGAGGGAGTGCCTGGTGGAGGGTGAGGTGAGGGGCTGTGGGACTGGAGGACTGTGGGGGCCATCTCCATGGGCCCCGAGGACCCTCTCCTGAAATTGCATCCGTGTGAAGAGCCCTCCCACAGGGTATTAGGGTTGGTCTACGTGACAATGAACAAGGCAGAAGGGAAGACTCCTGACTTCCAAGCTGAGGCAAAGATATCGCGCTTCCGCCCCTCCCCGCCACCCATCCTTGGATCCCTCCCTCTGGGGGAATCCGTGGTGTGGAGAGGCCCCTGTGAGAGGAACAGAGGTTTCCTGCCCACAGCCGTGGGAGTGAGCGTCTTGGACGTGGATCCTCCAGCCCACGGGAGCCTTCAGATGCACACAGCCCTGGGCGACCTCTCGACAGCAACCTTAGGACAGGCGGTGAGCCGGAACCGCCCAGCTGAGCCACTCCTGAATTCCTGACCCAAGGAGCTGAGATTTTTTTTAAGCTGCTAAATGTGGGGAACTTGAATAACTAGGAGGAAGGCTCACCGAGGTGTCCGTCTCTCTGTCCTTCTCAGGAAGTCCACTGACTGTGGCCTTGTCTGGGGAAGAAAATACATGGCCAGTTTTCTGGGAAGGATGTCACAAGGCAAATCTGCCTGAGAACCCCCAACTTCAGTTGACATCCTGCACCCAATCTATAATACAACCTTCTAGAATGTTCCCAAAGATTCTTCCCTCCACTCCCCCCACATTGCATCTGGATTTGCACCAAGTCCCCACTTCCCCATCTCAGGCCTGTCCCTCCTCCTCCCCCTTCACCTTCTGTCCTCTCTAGAACATCAACAGCCAGGTCGTGCCTGAGAGGAAAAGTAAAAGTGAACCTCAGGGGCAGCCTGGCGGCAGAGGACTGGGTGGAGGCCCAGGAGTCATTCCCAGGGGCCTCACCTCTGCTGTGGCTTCTGCTCCTCGTCCTTGCTTCTGGGGGGCCCTGAGGACAGTTGGGGTACGAATTAAGGAGACCTTCTTCCTAGCCTCTCCTGACAGCTTCCCCAGGTCACTCCACCCTGACTCTGAGACCTACCCTGCTTTATCTGATTCTGGCGATGGAGGAAAAAGAGGACCAGAAGGAGGAGACAAAAGAGGAAGACCACTGAGACCCCGGTGAGAATATAAAGATGCTCAGCACTCAGGCCTTGGGAAGCAGGTGCATCTAAGAAAGACAGAAACAGGTTTTCAGCAGTGTGCATTTATTGAGCCCTTACTGTATCTCACACACATGATGTGTGCTTGTCATAGACTTACTAATATATAAAATCTCTCAGGTAAATAGTAGTCCTGCAGCAGGGTGTGGTGGCTCACGCCTGTAATCCGAGCACTTTGGGAGGCCGAGGCCGAAGGACCACGAGGTCAAGAGATTGAGACCATCCTGGCTGACATGGTGAAGCCCCACGTCTACTAAAAACATAAACATTAGCCAGGTGTGGTGGTGCATGCCTGTAATCCCAGCTACTCGGGAGACTCAGGCAGGAGAATTGCTTGAACCCGGGAGGTGGAGGAGGCAGTAAGCTGAGATCACGCCACTACACTCTAACCTGGGCGACAGGGCGAGAGTCTGTCTCAAAAATAATAATAATAATAATAATCCTGCAGCACAGAGATCGTTAACCCCTTCCTCCACCACTGGGGTCCTGAGTGCTGGGGTCCTCTGCACAGGGACACAGCTGGCCATTAGCAGAGCAGGAATCTGATCAACCCCAAAGCCTGACCTCTTTCTCCTTCCCCAAGAGGTACACACTAGGATCACCCTCCATGGTCCCCATCACTCACGATCATTGTGACTGTTGTCCAACGGCCTCTGCGTGGGTCCTGTGAGGGAGGAATCAGAAGGAAGAGGAGTTAGAGTCCTGAGCTGGACAGAGAAGGCTCTGAGTCCTCCCACATCCACTGTGGGGATCTCTCTTCACTCCCCACGATCCTGACAGCTCCTTCTAGACCAGCACTGACCAATAGAGTCTTCTGTGAAGATGGAAACTTTCTACATCTACTGTCCAGTATGAGAGTCACACGTAGCTATTGATATTTAAATTTATCCAAAGTTCAATGGCATGACAAGCCGGCTGCACTGTCTGCATCTGGAGGGCTCAGTGACCCACGTGCCTGACGCCATCCTGACTGGGTGGTGCAGATACAGCGCGTTTCCTGGGCGTGAAGCTGTGGTAGACATGGCTGCTGTCTGCCCTCCGCGGATCTAGGAAGAGACCAACTACCCGCAAGAAGAGGAAGGGAGACCTTCCCTCCCTGACCTCCTTCTGGGTTCCCACCAGAGTGCAAGAATCCCCCTGTCTGATTTTATCTGCCCTCGCGGCAGCCCCCTGATGGGGATGTAACCCGCCCTCCTGTGGGAAGAACCCAAACCCAGATGTGCTCCTGTTTCCTGAAGCCCTGCAGCTAGCGGGCGAGTGTGTGCGGCGCCGCCCAGGCTCCCTGCGCAGCGCATTCCGGACCGGCCCGTCATCTCCTCGAACATTCACCCTCCTCTGCACAGTGCACGACACTACCCAATTCACAGGTGACCAAATGGGGTCCTGCGGGGCTCCCCCAAACCCAGGGTCCGAGCCCACGTGTCCGTCTTCCAGGAACAGCGGTTCCTCCCCTCCCCTGCTGCCTAGGCAGCATCTTCAATATCCTTCCAGAAAGGCAGACATTCTATTTTGGAGTGTCCTTTCCTCTTGCCTCGTCCACGGCCCAAAGTCCAGGACACCACCCGTAATTCTACACCATGACTTCCTGGGTTTGGTCTTCATAACATGTGCCACAATTTAAAATGTGCAATATTACAATTTTTATATTATTTATAGTTATATGTATCATGTGCTATGCAAACATATAAAAGATAACAAATATATATTTTAATTATGCAATCTTGGCATATACATTATAATTTAATGTATATAATGTTAATTATATGTGATTTATAATTACTTATAATATATGTTACATATATTCACTATAATATATAATGTATAATGTTTATTACATATAAATATATAATTAAAT